TTTGTTAGTTTGCAAACATCAAAATTATTATATCGCTGTTCGCACATAAAATGAATAAATGAAAAAAAAAAACAAAAATGTTTCTTTGTTAGTTAGTTAGTTTATTTATTTATGCATTCAGTTTGTTGTGGCCGTACAAATGTTCTAGAAACTTCATCTTCCGGCTATGTAGTCACGTGATGCAAACGTTCTTCTGCAGTGATGGGGGTGACGATGACGGTGACAATGATAGTGATAATGATGTTGATGATATGAATGATCATCATTCATCATGCTCCGGCTAAACATTAAAATCAATGAAGGAAATTTCTGAAAAAAAAAAACTCACGCCGACAGTGGTGATGATGATTGTGATGATGATGATGATGGTGGTGGTGGTGGTGGTGGTGGTGGTGATGATGATGATGATGTTCACCACGTAGAACGTTCGCTTGCTTGTTTGTCTTGTGTGAACGGTAATTCATTTATTATATTAAATAAATTTTGCGTCGGTTCATATACTGAGTTGAATAATATTTGTCTGAACGCTTGCATGTTTGTGTTTCCCTTGCAAATAACAAAGCTGACGACAACAACAACAAAAACAACTACTCTTAATACTGCCACTCCTTACATGTTCATCAGTTTATATTGTGCACATTAGTAAGCAAACTTTTTACATGAATGTTTGTTTCTTTACTTGTTTACCAATGGCTATAATGTTATTAATGGCATAAATTTATCGGGAACTAGCACATCTAGAAAGCACAACAAACACCAACAACATACCATAATTACCATCAACAATAAACAACATCAATCAATAATAAACAAACAACCAGATAACAAACAAACAACATCAACTAACAACAAACATCAACCATAACCACAGAACCAACAAACAACAGTTTGTAACTTGCTTCTGTACACATGCCGATACACACGAGATTTAATCCTTTTGATCAATTGATTGACTGGTTGCTGTTGATTGGCTGCTTGATTGACTGCTCGATTGAATGAGAATTTTGGTTGGCTGATAATTCTTTAAATGATTTTTGCCTGAACATTTGCATCAGTTAGAAAAATTAAATCCACTGCATCAAATCATCACATCAATCAGCCACATCGATCCATCACACCAATTCGTTTCTTGGTTCATGCATTAGTTAGTTTGTTCATTCGTCTGTTCGTTCGTTCGATCTTTCGATCGTTCGTTCATTCATTTTTTTTTTTCACATAATTAATTCATCCATCCCTCTAAACCCACTAAAATACACTTGTAGGCCTAACATTAACATCACAACATCTCACGAATTCGTACTGCAACTTATATAACAAACTCTATAACAACTTATATAGCCCACTCCTCTACAATAACTTATATGGCAAACTTATTTAGAACAATTTATATAACAAAAAATGTAATTATAACAAAAAATGTAATTAAATATCTTAATATAAAAAATTGTATAACATAGACATAACAAAATACATGAAATAAGTATAAAAAATCTGTATAACATAGACATAACAAAACACATAGATACAACAATAACATAGACATAACATAGACATAACAAAATACATAGATACAATAATAATCTATACATAACGTAGACATAAGAATCAAATGGTAATGATCGTTGTACACTTATTATTATTTATTACCTTCTTATTTTTTATTAATTGTTTTTTATTATAACAGCCATTATTATCTCTGGCCACAATCATATTTATTATTTAATAATAATATAGTAATAATATTATTATTATTTTTATTATTATTATGTCAAACATGACCAGTTCATTGCTTTGTGGAAATCAATATCGGCTGCATTCAGGTGTTTTCTTAATCTTTGTATTTCTTTTAAAAGCTCATCTCCAGATGACTCGAAAGTGGTTAATTTTGTAACGGGCACTAGTAACTTCTGCTGTCTTGAAGGTCGTAGTCTCTTGGGTTGAACCCCCGCAAACATATTTGCTGCTTCTTTAATAGCCTTTGATTTTGATTATATCTAGAGTTCGGAACAAAAACAATCAACACAATCCAGCACCTTCCAACTGTGTTTTTTGCAGTGAATGTCCAACGTCTTTTAGTTGTTCCTTTTTTTTCTTGAACCTTAATCTTTTTTCGGCCAAAATTCCATACTGACTTGATTTTGAGAGTGCCTATTCAATTGCATGCTCAACTAAGTAATTGTGCTTTTTGTGCAGAAACAATCCTAAGATCAGTAACATAGTCATCACTTTGTCAAAAATTAAGCCTTTAGTCTGCAGATATTGCTGGGAAAAATTAACTTCCTCAAATAGATCAGTCCAGAGGTAGAGGCAGCAAGAAAAAGACCTTGTGCTGTACTCCTTAAGTTCAAATTTCTCCTGGGAACTTCAATTGCCGTTATATATTCATAAAAATCATCTTTCACTGGCAAAAAAGCAGCACTCTAACGAGCTGTTGATTATCTTTCCACCGATGATCCAGTGTGTTCAATCAAGACACTCCAGGGTTAAGTGGATGCAGCAAAGAATGAAAATATTCTTTCAGAAGTACAAAACAACGTTACACATGAAGCATTCTATGCAAAAAATTATTAGCAAAACAAGCCAAATTTTTTTACGACCAGTTCTGATTCTCATTACAATAGAGCCCTGAATTTTTACCGACTGAATGGGTTATAGTGTCATTCTGGGTCAATGACTCTGTGCTGCCATTTAGGCGTGTATTTGTATTTATTCAAGTAGGTAATCGGTTATCGGCTTATGAACTACGACTGGACCGAGCGACGTCTGTTCCGCATTTTTCATTTTTATCCCTCTGAGGTTGTGCCCCCTGGTGTGGTCCGTACCAGCCTAGCGGTCGTTGCTGATTTGTTTAGATTTTTGATGATATGTCTTTGTAATGTTTCTTTCGTTAATATCATTGTTGTTATTTTTATCTTTTTATTTTGGTTCTTGTTATTTTCTTGTTAAAATTTTGTTTCTGTTATTATATCTCACCATTGTGTTGTTATTTTTCCTATTTTCTTATTGGCACTGTCATTGGTAGTGTTGGGCAGTGCAACATTTATGTGTTATTTTACAATTATTGTTTTATATGGCGGGGCTTGCGCTGCCTAAATAAAACGCATATAAACATTCTGGAAAGTGTTGTGAACATAAAACGTGAACATGCAAACAGGAAAACATGAACATGCAAACAGGAAAACATGAACATGCAAACGCAAAAACGTAAACATACGAACATAATCATGGAAACATGAAAACTTGAACTCGCAAACATGGAAGCATGAACGCGCAAACGTATTAACATACAAACCATAAACCATACAAACACATAAATATATCAGCACAAAAAAATATGGACTCATGAACACGTGAACATGTGAACCAAAGAACATACAACACACGGCTGGTGAGTTAGCTCAGACGGTAGGAATACCATATCGGGCGCTGTTATTACGCGATAACCTGGTTCAAATGCCCTCTGTCCGAAACTCGAAGACTATGCGTGTATTGTGCGGTGATTGCGCGTGCACTCTGCATACATGATGGCACGAAAGTCCAACTAAGCATAGACAGAATGATATGTAAGCAGTTCTGTCTACGTAAGCCACCAAATGGAAAAATAGTTGAAGAAAATCATACATGCACAATAGCATGCAAATACACAAACGAACATCTAAAAACATACATGAAAACAACATAAACGCAAATATGTTCTAGAGCTTGCCCAAACGTTTTCGCTTTGTTAATTTTCTTTTTTTCAAATTTGCTTGCTTCTGTGAGTGTGTTTACAATTTGGCTTTTTGGGTCAGTTTGTATGTGCGATGGGTGGGAGGCTTATGTAATAGCTTGTTGGTGTGATTGCACGGTTGTTTTCAGCGTTTTGAATGATTGTATATTAGCATAAATGTATTTTGTATATGATGTCTGTTGTATGTTTTCTGCATAATTGTACGTTTGTATGTTTTGTATAGAATCGCAAGTTAGTATGTTTTGTAAGAAGTTGTATGTGTGTATATTTTGTATAAAAATGTATGTTCGTGTGTTTTTAAAAAAAATATATGTTTGTGGGTTTTGTATAAAAATGTATGTTCGTGTGTTTTGTATAAAAATGTATATTCATATGTTTTTTCAGATAATTTTGTTTGTATGTTTTTCGCATCGGTATATTGGTTTGTTCACTGGAGCGAGTACCCGAACGTTCGACACAGCGTTTATAGAGGCTGGTTGGAGCACGTGCTGTTCGTGCGTGGTAATAAATTACGCTGTACACATTCACACATGAGTACATCCACGCATACGTTCGCACACTTACATACATCCACACGTACACAGATACATACATCCACACGTACACACATCCACACCGTACATCCACACGTACATACATTCACACATCCATTCGTACAAACATCCAGACGTACATACGTACATACATCCACACATACATACATTCACACCGTACATACGTACATACATCCGCACATACATACAAGCATGCACTTACTTACTACAATGATGATAAGGATGATAATTCTAGTGATTACGATGACAATGGAGATGATAACATACATTTTATGTTAATAATGGGCTGGTAAGGACGACGACGACGATGATGACTAAACATTGACATTCAGCAGAAGAGGAAATACAGAAATTCGTTTGAAGAAAGAAACGCACGAGAAGTTAGCATGGAACAAGTAGAATTTAGTGTAACGTAATGTAACGTAACGTACAAATTTGATTTAATGGTTCGCATGTTTCGTTTTGTTATCTTGTTAGTTAGACCAAGCCATATTGCCCGCTTGCCTGCCTGTGTTTTCATGTTCGTGTGTTGTCTTGTTGAACGTTTGTCATTTCTTGTGAGTACGTGTGTGTATGTTCAATTATTGGTTTGTTCGTTCGTTTGTTTGTTTGTGTGCGTGTGGTGTTTGCGTGTACAGTGTTGTGTGCAGAGGTATGTGTGTGGGTGGATGTAGTTCATGTACATGTGGTATAATGTGTGCTACCCCGCAAAGAGGATGTCTGTCTCTTGGGCTGCATGTGGAGTTTGCATCAGGAGAGGCGTGGGGCTGGTAAAATATGTACAAACAACAAAATGAAGCAAATTAAGAAAAACTTTCATCCATCATCCAAAATTCAACCAGCCAACAATCGATCTATCTCTCTATCCATCCATACATCCATTTATCTATTCATCCATTCATTCATCAATCCATCCATTCATCAATCCATCCATTCATTCACTCATCCATCCAATTACCCAACCACCTACCCATCCACCCACTCATCCACCCACCTATTCACCCATCCACCAGTTCCAGCAGTCCCACATGGGACTCATAATGTATTGGCCGTGGACCGATTGGCGAAGACGAGAACAATTTGGCCGGCATCAATTTATTTCTCCTGGAAACAGCTGAAAGTTATATCCAAGAAGTAAAATTTCACTTCATTCCAAGTTCATTCCAGTAACGAAATGTTCAATTAAATTGCAATGGAATTGTGAAATGTTGTGTCTGGAAATGTTCCTAATAATCTCACCAAGATAAACTTCCGAAATGTGCAAAAGAGGAGTGTGAGACGGAGAAATTTTAAGAAGAGCGCGTAAAATCAACGTTATGAATGGAGATTTAGTGATGTTTTCGCAGCTGAAGTTAATACTGTTGTTGCGGAGTGTAGTAATAAATTAGGCACGTGTCCAATTAAGGAGAATTTACTGAACAGCCTGCTAAACTTCAATCCCCGGCACCACGTCACATGACGTCATAGGATATCACATGACATCACACGACCTCATATGACATCACATGGCATCACATGACACCACAACATCACATGATATCACATGACATAACATGACATCACGTGACATCATATGACATCACGTGATATCGTATGACATCACGTGACATCGTATAACATCACGTGACACTACAACTTCACATGACATCACAACATCACATAGCTTCACATGACTTCCTGTCTTCAGTTCGTTTTTTTTTTCATAAAGTTTCATCCAGTATATTAAAAAAATCTCCCGCACATACATTGCAGCTCTGAGAACATTTGTAAGAATGTTTATGTTTAGGTATGTGCGTACGCATATATTTCTAACTTTGTATAACATATATCAATATAATTTTGTGTGTGTGTGTGTGTGTGTGTGTGTGTGTGTGTGTGGTGTGTGATTTAATAATTCATTTAAAATACAAATACATTGAAGCGTGTGCGCGTATGTGAGTGTGTGTTTTTATTATCCATTTAATATACAAAGATACGTTGAAGGTAGTAAAATGATGAAAAAAAGTTTGATTACAACAGTGCAGATAATAAAAAGTTTTGTTGTTCTGCTGTTGTGTGCCATTAAGCTGGACCGAGAAGGAACGGGCCTACATGAGTCAATAAACAATTATAGGCAGGCAGCACTCCGTTCTGAATAATGAATGCAAGTATATTCAAATGAAAATCATGCTGCTTTTATATTTCTCGGTTATTAGAATTAAAAATATAATGTCTAATATCATTGTTATTTATTTTAAGTATAAAATTTTATATTAAATCAACAGTGTGTGACACGTGCAAACTTAGTGGCGATTTTAACGAAAAAATAAAGAATAAGTCGCCTCCCTTCAAAAATATCACGCACGCCACCTCCCCACATTCATCCTGCTGTTAATTTTAAACTTTCCCGACGTATTTTGCGGGAAACATAATTCAAAAAGCATTCTTTCAAATTATTTGCACTACACTGTATATAAAAAAAATATTGCAGCAAAATATTATTGCCAACACCATTAGCACCTCGATCGTGATCATCATCATCATCATCCTCATCGTCGTCATCATCATCATTACATCATCCTAATAATCCTCATATCAATCGTACTTATCTTCATTATCTTTTCAATCATCATCGTCGTCGTCTGGGTAGTCTCACCACACAAACCTCATCGTACAGTCAGCAGTTCGTCACGTGCTGTCCATCCAAGCAGTCTCGAACCAGGGTCTCGAATTGTTAGTGGACTGGGATATTTTATTTGGCAGAAATTTTGTCTATTGCAAAGTAAATATTTATTATTTAAACGCTAACGTTCCGCTCACTGATTGTTGAAACGTTGCTGGCTGGCAATTGTTGAACGAATAATTATTATCTGCATTTAATTTCTATCATAAGATTTTATTCTATTTCCAATCAATTTTTTAAACTTTACAGCTCGTACGGGGAACGCATTTTGTAACTTTTCGTGGATTAGGGGATCTAGTTGGTATAAAAAAAAGTTAGCAACCTCTTCTATTTTTTCCTTATCGCAATTCCTTGCCGAATCATGGCCCCATTCTCATGAATCCGCCACCAACCATGCATCACCTGGTTCGAATGCTGCTTGCGCATAAATAAAAATATAATAAGCATTATCTATGAACGTTCGTATTTTTTTTATTTGAATAGCGCAAGTTAGAAGTGCATCGTGAGGGGCAGACGGCATGGCAGATGTTTGATTGAGGAGAAAGATTACGTAGAGCATAACTGAATAAAAGAATTGGAATTAAAATGCAAAGAAATATACGCACCAAATGTGTTGCTCAAACATGTTTCAAATTATGCGCTTCCTTGAATAAATAGCGTAGATAAATAACACCGGGGTCACCGCTCCTTTATTGGTTCGTCAGCATCAATCAATCAATCAATCTTCGTTTAGCGTCCAGAGACCCAGTTCTCCAAGGTAGGACGTTGTTTTCTTTGCCATCAATTTTTTGCGCCAAATTAGACGATCAGTTGTATCCATTTCATTTAAATTTAGAGCTTTTATGTCTTGCTCGATTGTTTGCGACCAGGACTTCTTTGGACGGTACGTATGCCATGTTATAAAATCTTGAACCCCTAATCCAATCTCTTAATTAAGATTGGATTCGACACGACCGCAGGCAAATTATCAAAATATTGATAGAAAGAAGTGATTCATCTAGAACATCAGCAACATATTAACTGCAAACATTCAATTCTATCACTTACCTCCTTTACAATCCGGCAGGGAAAACATCTTCGTCGTTTAATAGCACAAAATTGACGAACGTTCTGTTCGCGTTCGCATTCATTCCACAACGAAAAGTGAGTGATTAATGAACGTTTGTGCGACACACAAAATGATACGAGGATTAAATATTGAAATGAAAGAACGCGCACTCAACGAATGCATTCTAATTTATTTAAAATTCAGTCACGCACTACTGAAGCGTGCAACGTATGCTTACGTGCGTCGTATGTAAATCGACAAATTCGAGTCAAGTGTAATGCCAGATTATTTTCGCGGCGTTTCATCCAGTAACGTACTCCTGATTCTAACCAAATAGTTTGTTTGAAAATTTTTAATCACTCACATTACACCATTTCATCGACAATGTAATATATTCAGATCTCAACGCCATTAATGACGGTCATTAGCATATTGTAGAAAGCTCCAATTAGTTGGAAGAGCACTGGACAACATTGCACCTGACGTATCCAGCCAATCTAATTATTTTCTAAATTAAACAAGTGTATGTGCCGCACTGCTAAGATGAAAAACAACCTCTTCGTTGATCGATGCGCATTCAGAAAACAAATTTCAAACGGAAAAAACAAATTAAAAATTAAAAAAACGACTTTTATTTATTTAATTATGAAAATGATAAAAAAAATTAAAAAAACAGTTTATCAGGAATATTTGGAAATTCTCTTGGTGTGAAAAATCCGTTAGCTTTCAACTTCTGGTCATCAACTTCCTCCTTCTTCTTCATGTATATTTCCAATTTTTTTGAATATAAAAGTTGCCTTCGACTGGGAACCTCAACTTTTTTGGGGATCAAATCTTCTCTGTCAAGTGCCTTCAGTGTATCAGCAAGACTGGTCACCTGTGAAATAAATGTTTTAACATTTAGTATAAGCTCCGTTATTGCTCCATGAAATGCAAGTCATTGGAAGTGCATAGGCAAATTTTAGTTGATGGCAAACTTAGTTAATTTGATAGTAGAATTAAAAACAACAGAAATTGTTACAATGGTTGGTATGTTAACAATTTCTGTACTGAATAAGCGGAAACTTTCGACATAGAATAAAATTTCTATTATATATTATTTATTTATAAAATTTAAAATCTTTAGATATATATTGATATAAACAAAAAAATACATACAGTAAATTATGTGAAGATGATCGGATGAAACAAATACGTAATGGACAAATAACCTCATCAATATCAAGCTCCTTCAGTTCTTTTATTATCTTATCGAGTTCCTCTTCTTTGTATTTATCAAATCTAATTCTCTCCTCAGATAATTTCTTCTTTAAAGTTTCGTTCTTCTCTTTAACAAGTTGCAAAGCAAAATCTCTGGCAACTTTTTTACGCAGAGCTCGTTTGGAAAGTTTTTCCAGGTGAGAATATTTTGAAGGCGGGGTGTACTTTAATTGCAATTTTGCTGTCAACCAATCAAATTTTTCTTTATCTGCTGATAACAGTTCGCCCAATTTGTCGTTTCGACGACTTATCCTGTTTCGCAGAACTGATATCGAATATTTGTCCTGAAAAAAGAGGTGCACTTTACATAGGATTGTTTTTAAAAAATGAAATTATTTTGATGCAAGTTACGAAAGATCGAAAATTATTATCTAACGTGTCGGAATTTTAAGCAATGCTTTATTTGATTTCTTATGGCGACTGTATCTTTAGCAACTGTGAATTATTTGTTAATGCATTGTATCAACTTGATCACAAACAACAACAACAACACACGTTTAGACGACATTTTCTCCGAGATCGGGGGTTGCCATTTGGCTACCTATGATGAAACCGAAATACCCCTCGACGCCATTCACATCTGTCACTCGCCTCAGTATCACGCAACCCCGCTTTCACTTTGTCCTTCTCCACCTGCTCTCTCCATCCCAGTCGCGGACGACCCCTTCCTACCACTCCTTCAACCTCGAACTCCAACACTCGCCTAATCTCGACCCTTTCATCCCTTCTCAACACATGTCCATACCACCGCAATCTCGATCTCCTTATCAATGTCACAATGTCCTCATTCAGTCCCATCATTGACATCAGCTCTGTACTACTCCTTCTATCCTTCACTTTAACCCCACACATCATCCTCACCATAGCTCTTTCAGCCCTCTGCAGTACACTTTCCTCCTCTCTCCTCAACACCCAAGTTTCACCACCATATACCATCGCTGCTCTCACACATGCTTTATATACCCTCCCTTTCATTTTCACTGACCATTTCTTTCCACACAATACCCCACCAAGTTCCTTAAATTTCATCCATCCCACACGAACTCTAGTCGTAACTGCATTCAAACATCCTCCATCCGCGTTCAGCTTAACCCCTAAATAAACAAAGCTTTCCAACTTGATCACAAAATAAACAAAAAAAGTAGACTCAAATAAAAATTGTTTCTACCATCAGTTAATGGTTTAAACCAAGTTGGCAAATAGGGAGCCCATCATAAAAGATTGTTACTCACCTGTTGTCATTAAAACTATCGACACTCAATCCATCTTACTCTAATAATAAATTATAATATTTACGTTGTGTTGTGTTAAGATGCCAAATAATTTGAAGATTGTGATAAGTTAACAGAGAGCAACAACATCATGGTGCAATTATTTATTATTATTGCATGTGGCCAAGCACTTATTCACTGCAGCATAGTCACCCACCAGCCGGAGGTACACATAACTTGAATGAAAAAGCTTACAACAAATCTTTCATACATATTTCAACTAATTAACTTAATGAACGAAAACATCGTCTTATCTTCTTCTCCCAAACAATTTTCAATTTCAAAAGATCCACACCCTTCCTAACATCGGCATCAGTTATATTTACATTTACAATCAAATCTGTGAGTGCATCTTCACTGTCCTTCCAACGAAGAAACAACAGCATTCACAGTGATCAAGGAAAATAAACCATTAAAAATGGACCTACATGGAAACTCATCAAAATAAGGGAATATGTGACAAAACCAACCAATCGGCACATTTGAATATTATAAATGAAAAAAATTTAAAACAGACTTGACAAACTACTCATCAAAGACTTCGAGGACATTAAACTGAGCCATTTTAAAGGCATATAATAGAGACAGTAGCTACACTTAATACACACACTGACATATGAGTATACACACACAAACAGAAAGAGATACAAACACAATGAGATACAAACACATGCAGGCACACGCAATCAACAAGACGGGACAGCATTCAACGGGAGAACCACGCATACTAACTTTCCACCTCCATGGACTTGACGTCGAGGGGATGGTCTTGCACCATCGACACCACTTCTTCCATCATCTTCTCCAATGTTACTTGCTGCATGTTTTTGTTGTCGTTGAAAATATTTTGCATTACATCTATACAATAATCAATTTACTCAACTTCACTTTTCCAGTTAACAATGCAATCGTTTACTGAATATGAAGTAACATTGAATAAGGTTAAACAAAAATAATTAGAAAATGAAAAGTTTTGAAAATGAAAAAAAATTTCTTCCACCCAACAGAAACTATGAAGACCTGCTAACCTTGGTTGAGAATTCAAGGCTGAATAACTTCTTTATCACATCGTCTGCCCTTCAAAATTGTTGGAAATAAAAAAATTTTAAGAAAATTTAAAACGTTCATCATTGGTGTCATTCAATTCAAAGAATCAAATTTACATATATGACATGTGACGCATGTTGTTACTTTCTATATATGTGTATGTGTGCGTGTGTTGTGCGTGTATCTGTGTGTGTGCGTGCGTATGTGTGTGCGTGCGTGTGTGTGTATGTCTGCTTGCTTACTCGTTGTACTGCTTGAGTTTATCAAATCCTGGCCTGGGACAAGATAAATCGACTTTGACAACTTCCTCACTCAAGTCACCTAAAAATTCATTATTTTCATTTTTTTTATAGTATTATATATCACATTTTTTAATATTTTAATTTATATAGCCTGGTAAAAAGAAAAGTTGCTTATAAATCATTCCTCGTATATAGTTGCAATTGAAAAAACGTGTCACAAGAACTTGTAGGACATGCCTTGTAGGACCTACAAACAATTACTAGGCAAGCGTAGGTACTGCACAATATTCAAGAAGTTATGAAACTTTTAGTTTCAAACCATGCTCAATAGGGATTACTATTATTATTATTATTAAATTTATAAAGAGCTGATTAAAAGTTAATATTCTCAAAAGTGCAATCTGCAGTAAACATAACAAATAAATAGCATAATAAAACTTAATTAATTAAAACTTAATTAATTCTTTTTGAAGATGTTATTGATCGACTGTTGAATGACCACTCGCCGATTCGCACATTTTCAGGTCATGAACATGCTTTGGTAAGCACATGAGAAAATTTTGTATCAATACATAATCAGTGGATCATTAGACTTTTCTTTTTTATCTTTCTTGAACGATGAGTAACACAAAATAACACAGACGTTTATCAACTGGAGGTGATCGACAACATCAGTGGCAGAACATTTTGACACATTCCCAACATGATACATTTTTTTCGAAAGGATAATTTTACTTGCAGTAATTCTTGATTCAGCAGGTAAACGAGAACCAACTAACCGCTTTCAACTCAATATCAGTAGTACCATTTTGAATAGTATGATTGCCTCTTTTATGTGCCTTACCATGATTAAATTTTGAGATTCAGATTTATCATTAATATTTTTAACTGAATCATCAACACACACAACACTGTCTCTACGAACTGAGTTTACTTTCGTGCACTCTCGATAGCCTTATTTACATTATCATTTTTTTCAACAGGAGTCGAAACAAAATTTTTACCCCCACATTAATTGCAAGTGTCGGCAAGCTGCTTTACACTGTTTGGAATGTCCATTAGCAAATTTTCATTTCTTTCCTTCACATTTTTCACATCATGTTCATTGTGTGTCTTTGCAAGCTGTTGAATATTTTTTTGAATGTCTACCAGTAAATTTTCGTGGCTGTGAAAAAATTCAATAATGGTCGGTTTCATGTTGCTCAACTTTCGTTTGTAATGTCATAACAAAATTTGTCGCACTGACATATTTTTGTAATGCCCGACCATACAAATGTTGAAAATTTATCTTCAACATTGCTATTGTAAACATGTTTGATAACACCAAGAAATTATGTGAACTGTTTTCCTCTGTCAGAATTTTTAGAAAAGTCTGGCAGTTTAAATGACAAATTTTTCTGTTTCCTTGTAACTAAACATTTTGACTTACAATTTTTATGTACAATTTTTATGACAAAATCTATTGCATTTATAATTTATTATGGTTAATTATTATTATTATAGTTAATTATTATTACAATATCTTCAACCTCATAAAACTTCATATGCGCAACTTTCAAAATATTATTATCAGAATTTCCATCACAGTTGCACATTTTCTGCCATCTTGACTGGAAACATAACATGCATAGGAATGCGAGATAGGTCAATCATTTTCTGAGCAAACTTACCACAACCGGTATTTCAATTTCCTTCTCATAATCTATAATAGTTTAGATTACCAAAAATTAATTACAATATAATAACCTGAATTATCAAAAGAAAGTGGTTTTGTGTAAGGAGCCCGAGGTGTTTTGTTTCTCCAATAGTTTGAAGACTGTATGTAGAACCATGGATAATCTGGCAAATTATAAACCAATCACAGATAGGAAATAAAAAGTTATGTAGGGTTAAACTTCCATTACAAATATAAAATTTATTCAATTTATAAAATAATTTAAAAATCACAATGACAAGTAAAGTTCTAGCTGTCTTTTTTGATTTTGCCTTTTAGATATTTAAATCTATATGTTATATTAAAATATATATTATATATGTTTACATTTACATGCTTTAAATGGTGACTTCATATGCAAAGCAAATACAGTCGAACTTTTGTAAAATGAAATTTGTTACAAAGAATTCGTTCAGGAAAACATTCTCTGTTGCTTAAAGGGTGTTTATATGCTATATATTTATGAAAAACAACCTTTTAATCATTTATTTTTATAACAAAATATAATAATACATAGTGCAATTGCAAATAATAGGAAAAATATCATAATATTATATTATATGCATGTATGTATTTGTATTATAAATATATGTATAGAAAAAATCGTAATACGTAAAAGTTTTACGGTAAAACAGTAATGCAAAAATGTAATTTACAGTTGACTATGTTCAACAATTTTTTTTTAATTTATAGGATATTTCTTTGAACTTTAAACTTTTATAAGTTTTGTTCATTACAGAACAATTATTATTGTTTTATTCCATAGAAACAGTTATATACGTAAAATCAAAGTGTACATAAGAAAGCCTATGATAGGTGGGGATCTTTTTGTCATATAATAGAATCTAAACGGGTGACTGCACGCACTACGAAACAGCTACCAGGCGACCTTAACCACAAGGCCATCATGCCATCCATTTTAAAATTTATAAGTATGATGATTTAGTAACTAAATTTTAGTTAGATTTAGTTAGACAAAACTTGATTATAAATCTTATTACATTACTACACTCATATTCATCAGCATATTATTTCATTAAGTTTTAGACTTTTAGTTAGTTAGAATTAGGATTAATTAGCATAGCATGCAAAATATAAATTTTAAATAAATAAATAGAAAAAAAAATAAATAGAAAAAAAAATAAATAGAAAACTTAAAAACTTAAAAAATAATAATAATGATGATAATTGAATTATTAAATTTAAATTAATATATAACAATAAAAAAAATTTAAAAAATGCCGACTCTGGATCTGATTTTTCAAATAAGAATACGACAGCTTGTGAATTGAACAGTTCGAATCCAGAAGAAACCTCACGGCAAGTTTGAAGCCAAACGACATCTTTCGACAGTCCTCCTCAAAAGAATTAACCTGGTTTTTCCCGTAGACAAGCAAATTTCCACATCTATGGTTATTACCAATTACGTGCGTGTGTTAACCAACCATATAAACACGCAATGAATAATAAAATAACATTATGACCGACCCATGTATGTAATGATGTACATATGAACCATATATATTAATTTAATTATATGGAATAAGAAATCCTGTATAACCTTAACCCTTAACCATGGAATTTTAAAGTGGAATCGCCCTATCGTGAAAGCAAGAAAAGCAATAAACGTCATGCTACCATTATACTGACGCTGAAGTACTCCACTCCACATTTTAAATTGTAAAAATACAGTGTAACAACGTAATTCTTCCGCGTTAATGTTTATCTGGAGATTTTGGCGCTGTGAACGATCGCCCACTGAAGTCCCTATATGTATACATAAAATATAAACACACACACACACTAAACACACACACACACTCACGTGTGTGGCAAGTTTGTGTGTGTGTGCGTGTGTAGCAAGTTTTCGATAAGTATATTTAAATAAATAAACCATGCTCTTCTTCAATTTATAATTAATCTGTAGTTTCATTTAAAATTTCTTATGAATTACCTTACCTTCACTCTGATTGGTCCTCGTCACTTCTCCGATTTTTTTCATTTCAATTTTTACTTTGACAAATTCTTACAACGCACCCGAAGTTGTGTAGGAGCGCTGATGAACTCTATTGACAAGAAAGTTGGCACTGTAAAAAAAATTTACTGTCTTTGATGAGAAATTTATTTTCAAAATGTTTAACAAAACAAATTGATAAACAGCAATAATGTCTGTTCAGTTAATGGTTGGTCATGTAAGAAATACATAATTAATTTGAAATACAACACACAACAAACAAAATAAAGTGAAAATTATTTGGAAACACACACAAGAATTCAACACTACTAATCAAAGTTGAACAATGTTGAAAGTAGTGTTGAATTTTTGAAATGTTGCGTTAACAACAGTCTGTTACCAATATATATATATATATATATATATATATATATATATATATATATATATACTGCGTCTCTACTCTACTTTATTTGTTGATACCTTGTTTGTTCAAAGTGAATATTTAACGCTCATTCAATTAGTTTTACAATTTTCAACTTCGTTTAATATAACACTTTTACGTGTTTTCATTATCGATGATTCCTCTGTTTCTAAATTTATTGGTAGGAAGAATTCCAATTGCTCGTTGTTGGATATTTATTATCGGATGTCTTCGTTCTAAGAGTATTGATTCGGCTAGTAGTAAATTACAATTTTTGTTATAGTAATGTAAGATTTAAACATTGTTGTCCAAGATTTGCCTAGTAATTATAGTTTTGTGTTTCTCTTCCATGTGATTCTGTGGTGTATACTGAGGTTTTAAATTTATGAGTATTTTGTATTGATACATCTAGAAATGGTAGCTTAATGTCAGTTTTTTTTTCAATTGTAAACTTTAATTGTGATGAATTTAGTCGTTGTGGAAGTTTTTCTATTTGAACATCTTCATCGTATGTAACGAATATACGAATATATCATCAACGTATCGGCTATATATGTTAGGCTTAACTCTGATTCATCTTTAAACAACATTTATTCGATATGTCCAAAACAGAAGTTTGCGAACAGTACACACAAAAGAGAGCCCATTGCTACAACGTCAATTTGCTGATATAATTTTTCCGGTAGAAAAATCAAAAAATTAAACAGAAGCATTCTAACGCGGAACATGCTGTGATGTTCATCAATATATATTGTGCCGCGTTTGTGATTTTGATCGGAAGCGAAGCTCAAAATTGTGAAAATCTGTTCAAGTTCTTTAATAACGAAATTTTCCACTTGAATCACTTTAATTTTTCCTTAGTATTATGGTACCCGTTATTTACAATGATATTAGACATTTAGGTAAATCATATTTAACATCCACAAAAACGATCAGGTTTTATAATTGAAAAATCATTTTTAACATTTTCATTGGACATTAACATTATTATCATTTTTAAAAATGTGTTTATAATGTTTTGAAGCTTTTCTGATTAAGGTTTGCAACTTTGAAATCAAAACCATCAATTGACAAATATGTAATCCTAACGATGACTAACGAAATGAAATAAAAGCTATTGTTATCAAATCTATATGCACCTATTAATTGCCTCTAACAACAAATAACGAAGCAGATCAGCTTGGCATCTAACACATGTTTTTTAAATATGCGACTTACATTACATAATTGGAGAAAAGTTGAAAAGTGAAACCAAGATGTACAAAAATCAAATATTTATTCCAAAACAAAGAATAAATCTGTGATGGCCCATGCGGAATGTTTCATTAATATGACAAAAATTTACTTAAATGAATGACGTTTTTTAAAGACAAAAAAGTGATTTACGGTTACCAATAGAACTAAAAATAAAGTTGATAAAAACTTGTTGCTAACATTTTTTAAATGCTACGATGTATTGGTTTTCACAAATAGTTTCAGAAACAAAATTAGGCCACAAAATTTACTTTGATGATACAAAAACTGTTTCAGTTTATCCATATTTTGGATACACAGAAAAAAGTAGTGTTATAGGAGTTTTTCCAACTTGTACTGAATCCTTAAAGCGGGTTTAAAGTCGTTTGACTAAGGAGAAACAATAATTCATTTAGGTAGTTATATGTCTAAAAAAATTCATAGATGATGTAAGATAAAACAAAACCGCAAAAAAAGAAATCTCGTCGCTTTTACGAATAAACATTTAATATATCTGAATCTAAATATCTAAAATCTAAATAAGAATATATTACTGTTACATTCATTTCCATGTATCATATAAATATTGGGGGGCTTTTGTAACGTTACGAGAACATTCTAGAAAATAATTTCATGTTATAAAAACCGTTCCAGAACACGTGCACAAATATAATTCAGTAATTTAAATGAATTAAAACCGAAAGCTGCTTTTATAATAAAAAATTAAATAAGCAGGTATTGTTAATTTAACCCTGGATTTAAAATTTCATGGTATATGAATGTGTAAAAATAAATCTATGGTATGACATAAAATGCAATATAAGTGAGTACAACCAAAACGAAAATAGAAAAATAAGATACGAAATAAATTGTTTATTACAACGATGATAACCAATTCCAAACGAAACAATTTTTAATACTGAATAAAATGATTTGACATAAAATCGAGTCACAAAATATAAATACTTCGGCTCTAGAATGTCTTAAACAACAACTTGATTCCTTCTTAATAACTAAGAACCTACCTTTGATTGTTTCTTAATAACCAACATTCTACCTATTTAACTGACTCTCCTCAACTGTTACCTTCTCCTCCAGCTCCGCTCCCCGTTTTCAAACTTTGATAGTACTCAATCATGACCTTCCAAGCCCTCGGAGACATGAAGCCATGCGGAGGATCGATTCCCTCCTGAGCCATAGACCTCATCTTCGTTCCAGATATGAAGATAAAGTCATCCTTGTTTTGTTCATCATAAAAGTCCATTTGCTGTTTCCTCTGGTTGTAGGCAGCAACTCTGAACGGAACGATCTCCAACTGATCCAACCCAGGAGCCATTGTTAGGACCTTCATAAATAATTATAAAAACATGGTTAGTTTAATAGAAAACTGACAAAATAAACAAATATGCCATTAATTTGAACTTGTAAACATTTAATCATGTTTTAATTTAGTCCTATTACAAAAATTGTCATAACTTTAACTTTTTAACTCTAAAACTAATATAATATAATTAATATTAATATAACTTTTCAGAATATCAAATGCTATCTCACTTTGGCTCCGTGAGTAGGATCGTACAAGTCTTTCTTACTGTCAGGATGGGGCATGCCTGCTGGGTCTCTGCCAACAATGTAAAAGTTTGCACCAGTAGACATGCGGGCCTTCGCATGCCATTGTACCTGCAATAAAAAAATTAGCTGTTACCACATTAAGCTTAATTATTATGCTTTATTAGGTCTGATAAAAATTTTTATATGAACTGTATATGTCATGGCTAAATGTCCGTCAATTATGTTTCTATTTCTTCTAAGTTTTGAGTTTTGAAATAAAATTATTAATATTAAACAGTAAAACTTGAAATATCGGACTAACAATGACAAAAAATTAAACTGAGAAACAGCTTTAAATACGCATGCACGCACGTCTAAACTCTTGTTAACAATCAATACTTCCATGAAACTTCCACAACTTCGTCATCCTTCGTTGTTAATGTACGAAACATTAAAAACTCTTAATAAATTGAAATGTGAATCCAAACCTCAGTGGGACCAGCGTAAAGCATGGGAGATGGAAAAATAGCAAGGACTGTTGATTGTGGATCTAGGACTCCATCTTCCAGGAGACACTGGTGTTGTTTCATTCTCCATGGCAGTGGGACGTCATCATCCTTCGTCCAACCACCTAGTATATTAACATTGGTATCTTGGTTAACAATTAGATCAATATCTAGGTCCAAAGATATTCCATCGACGTCTCAATTAATATGAGAATCGATATCTCCAAATCATATCTCCTTAAAACACAACAAATGTTACTCCAGAGGATCAACAGCAGGTACGAACCCAACGGGTGCAGGAGAAGTATGGGATTTTTGTATCCTCGTTCCAGCAGTTTTTTCCTCGTGTCGGTCATCAACAGGGCGTGACCGTTGTGGATGGGATTGCGTAGTTGGAACGCAAACACAGCATCTGCCTAACATCATTTTGTGAAGAAAGTAATCATTGCCAAATACTTGAACGGAAAAAACAAAATGTGTTAAAGCAAATAATTATTTGAAATAACAAATTACTAAAATATTATAAAAAATTTAACAAAATCTATTAAAAAAACTGTAGCTGAAAGTCATTAAAATGTCGGATGAATTGAGATCAAACTAACATTGAGTTGACGAAATCTGGCTTTCAGTTGTAATGGCGTCAGTCGATATTCATCCAATCCATCATTCCACCTGACTGGCTCATAAACCTCCATTTTCCCGCCAACCAACCAATCACCTGACTTGTATACCATCTTGAAGTAATTTTTTTTAAAATTTGATTTTTTTCATTGAACGTTAATAAATCTAAATAAGAACGTAAAACTGTAGTTTGAAATAGCCGCCCAAAACTGTTTTTAAAATTTTTAAGTGTTGTAACCTACCTTGACAGTGGGATGTCCAAGGTTGAAAGTGCCAAACTGTCGACAGCACCTTTCTTCTTTCCTGTGTTCAAAAAATTCAGGATTTCTAATGATTGCCACGGGTTTGTTCCTGTACCATAAAGATAATGCTTCACAGCCATCAACTTCAGTTTTATCTTTGGTAGTGATTGGTAGGACAATAGGAATGGATTGGTTATTGTTCGTTGCAAGTGTCACCAGACTTCCAAAATGAAGAGTTTGTAAATATTCACTTTCCTTCATAAACCCTGAGAGAGGTGAGGCCCACCCTTCTGACAACACTTGTACCCACTGTAAGTCTATCTGATCAGGATTATGATTATTCACTTTATAATAAAATTTCAGCCATTGAAAGATATAGAAAAAAAGAAAGCAAATATAGTAAAATATTTGTCCTTCAATAATTGAAATATTTTTTTGAGAAATGATATTAAAGCTTTGTAAGATGACCTCGTTGATATTTATTCGTGGTATACTCTGGCATTCCTTGATGAAATCTGGCTTCTTCCATTCATCAATGAACAACTCCTTCACCAAGTTCAAGTGCGAGTCAGATACAATGCTCTGCTCATTTAAATTATTCAACATTATTCATTCTTTCATTATAAAATATTAAATAAACATGCATATAGAGATTAAATCGTTATAAATCAAATGAAACTCAATTTTAGATGATGCTGTAACTAAAACAATAAAATTGTGATTGTGAGATAACTAACACATTAGTAATATGTTATGTTATTCTTAAACCTTTGTAGGTGAAGTTGACTAAAACTATTTTAATTACATCACTGAACATGACAATTAAAATGATGAACAAACAACGAATGAACAAGAACCCTCTGAATGAGGTATGAGACGATCTGCTGAACAATCTCATCAATGCTCAACTCTCCAGCCCTCAAAGTCAGCTCTGGATTATCTGGAGGTTCGTATTCCTGGTCGATCCCTGTGAAGCCTGCAGGGGATCATCAGGATAGTGACGAGTGAAAGATAATATGCATATAACGTAATTAATTTAAAATAAAAAAGGGTGTAGGGTGGTGAGATAGAGAGGAGGTAGATAGAAACCTTTGATGTCGCCCTTCCTCGCCTTCTTGTAAAGACCCTTCGGATCCCTCTGCTCACAAATCTCCAGTGAAGTGTTCACCCAACATTCAACAAACACCAAACCTGAGATGATAATTGTTCAAAAACCGATAACATCAACATGCCGTTTGCAGTTTGCAACATGTTTATAACAGAGACATTCAATGTTAAGATATTATTTTCACATGTAGAAAAGATGTCGTCTACAATTTAATTAAAAAAACGCATCTGTTTCAAAAAAAAAATAATCGAGAGGGCTAAATCCACGAGCAAAACGCAAAAACAGCCAACTTTAAAATTAAAAAACTGCACATCTCACCACAACTCACCCTTAAAAAACATCTAATATAAGAGTTAAAATGTTCTTTTGACGAAGGCACTCGTCAACAAACATCGCGTAACAGCCAAGTCACTATTACGTCGCCCCACCATGCCTAAAACAGGAGCTATTGGAAATATCCCTTAGAAACTAAACATCAAACCATCTCACACGAGATAAACTGCTAAATAAACACCAGTATATCAAACAACAACAGCAGCTATTAATACATCCACTTAAAAACTGCCTGTCACTCAAATACACACATGAAAATGCGCGTAACATATACATTAACAACCCACATCAAAAGTCAAAGTGTAATGGCAAAGCATACATATTTTTACTTTCTATTTTTCATCTTGTTTGATTCAATTATTTAACAAACTATGCCCAACATACTGAAGCTATCTATGAATGTCTGAGTTTATTATTTTAAATATAACAAAAAAAAATGTGTAAAACATACATTTTGTACAATATAAAAAAAATTTAATAAAAAACAGAAAACTTGTCAAATAAACTTTTAATTTATGAAATGTATATATATTTATATATATATTGTATGTATTTACATAAATATATATAATTAGGTATAAGGCCATTACGTATACAATTTTCATTAAATTCTATCGCTATAGTATTATTCATCAATTTTAATTTAATATATATATATATATATATATATATATATATATATATATATATATATATATATATATATATATGCATATATTCAATCATATATATATACTGTATGTATTTACATATATATACACTATACATGTATATACTTTCATTCATATCCTCATATTTAAGCTTTATAACTAGTAGACCAGTTTTCTAGTTTGCTTCAGTTTTTACAGCCTCAACAACCATTCATTTGAATACTTTGAATGTAGATCACAATCATGCAACTAAATAGCATTGTACATGTACACGTTTTTATCATTACACACACGCACGCACATAATTAGGGTTAAGACTGACGTAGATACAATTGTTAAGAGCTATATATACATATGTATGTATATATATATTTTTTTTTATGTATATACATATATATATAAATTTTTTGATGATAGAGTTAATTGAATGGGACAAGCTACCAATGTTACTAATAGATCAACAATTAATCAAACTGTGTCTGACATAAACTGCTCAATTATCTGATTAATAAAATAGAAGAAAAATCTGTAATGACGAGTGGCATGAAACTTAGATCAAATGATAACAATTTGCTGTTTGTCCCGGACATCATTTTACAGATCGCATCAAGAAATTTAGCTGTTTCAAGACCGGCTGTTTGGAACAGTTTGCCAAGATCTTTAAAATTTAAGGATTTGAAACGGGATAATTTTAAGAATTTGAAAAATTTTTTATTTGCTCTTTGATTTTGATATTGAATTGTTTATAAATAACTACCATCATATACTGTTCGATATGGATGGCGCTTTTAAGAACTTTTCTATTTTAATTAGCGCTTAATTAAATGTTTTAATAATATATATATATATATATATTAATTAAATGTTTTAATAATATATATATATATATATATATATAATAAATCACATACATTCATTATATATATATATATATATAATAAACATCTTGGTGTGTGCGTGTGTAGTACACATGCAGACAAATATTCACAAGAGTAAAGTTGAAATACAAGTAGTCATTATCAACAAACTGGACAAAGTAACCTGATTCTTCGTGGATTTCTCTTGCTCTTGCCCTGTCCTATGAAATAGAATATCTTTTACTATGCTTGTAGTCATCATTATCATCGAAATAATCATCATCACCATCATTCTAAAATAATTAAACGGCAACACGTGCTTAAGCATGCTCGATGTTAGGATCCATATTATTGATCTGAATTCAACAAAACTGAAAAACATTCGTATGATAATGATGAAAAAATTGCTTCAACTTGAACAAACACATGGTAAACAATCAATTGATAAGCAAGCCAGGATAAATAAAAATTTAAACTTGCAACTCAACATTTTGTAAGTCACAGATATGAAAAATGGTTGCTTATAAATACTAAAGGAGCAAATTTTTAACACATCTAATAAAAGTTCTTCAAGTTGAATGCATGTATTCATTCGGTTGTTAGAAGTTTATATTGTGCCATGTATGATGCACAAAATTAAAAAGGTTATCAACTTATTGACTGGTTATTATGCAGAATATTTATGAGCTACTTAAATTGAAAATTTGGTTGCACTTGTTTTTTTTTATCAAATCAGATCATTATAATATCAGGTTTATAGACTAGTTTGAAGCATTAAATTTTGTTAAATTGGATAAGCACTTTATATTCAGAGTATATATATATAATTGGTGAACCAAACTGCAATCCAGGCATTGAGTGCTGAAATTATTACATTTATGAAAATCATTACAAGAGATTTTTTTAATTTAAAGACAAAATGAATAACAGAAAATAAAATTTGTAGACATTGAGGATAAATGACTAAAAATATTCAGATGGAACAGCAGCAACAACAGCAAAACAGCGACAACAACAGTAACAAAACATCAGAAACAGCAAACATATTAGCTACAACAGCAGTAAGAGTAACATCTAACTTTTCTGAATGGACTGATGAAACTAGTAAGACAGACAATGCCCCCATCAGCGAACAACTTGGCCACTTCAGACACCCTCCTTATATTTTCCTCTCGCTCTGTGGGACTAAACCCAAGATCTTTGTTCAAACCAAATCTGAACAAAAGAAAGTGATAATCGTGGTTCCAGTTTGCAATAATTTTTGAAACATTGAATAAACATGCAAATGCAAGAGACCTAATGTTATCGCCATCCAAACTGTAGGAAGGAATGCCACGATCAACCAGATATGACTCTAATGCAAAAGCTAAAGTTGTTTTACCAGCTGCAGATAAACCTAAAATAAAATATTATTAATAGATCAATGAATGGAAAACTATATAATACAAAGATGTTAACTATTATTATGATGAATAATTTATTTTTCAAAATTCAGACCAGTGAACCAGACAGTGCAACCCCTGAATCTGCCCCCGTGACCCAAAACTTGACCCCTCTTCAACCTGGAAACATGTTGAGTCTGGTATGTGACGTTTGTCGCTATTTGTGGGACTGAACCCTTGATTCAAAATTTTTTTAATTTTACTTTAAAATGATACAACAAATTGGATATGAAAAAATAAAATTTAAGAAAATTTAACAAAAATTCTTTGAACAAATTAAATAATTTTACACAGAAGAGTACTAATTAATAAATAATTATAAAAGCATATGCATCGTCAAAATTCATTTATTTTAAAATTTATTTGCTGAAAAACATCTTCTTGATTGCCTTTTCCTAGTAATTCGTTATTAACAAAAAAGCTTATAAAAAAGGAAAATAAAATATGATGTAGGTATTATTAATTTATATCTTATAAACATGTTATTATTAATTATTTATTCGTTAATAATTAATTAATTACTAAAACATTAAGCAATATAATATAACATCGTTGAATCATGAACCATGTTATTATTAACCTTCATTTTTAGATTTTTAGAAATAATAAATTAGATTTTGATTTATTCAATTTTAGAAACAGAATTTGAGAATTCAAATTTACCCTGCTAGAACACTGCATGTTCTTTTTTCTTTTTTAAAAAATATGGCTTGTTGAAATTTTCAACTGAAATATGTCAATTAAACTTAAAGTCTAAAACAAAGCAGATGTTGTGTGCAATATGTAAGTCACAGTATGTGTAGTATAGCAAAGTAAATCAGATACAATAGAAGACTAGACTAGACTATGGAAGTATGGACTATTAAGTTGTATTATTACACCATGTCAGCTATATGAGTATAATTTATATATATGATGTGTGATTAATGTTAATTGTTAATTTATTAATTGTTAGTTGTTACTGATAGCAATGTTTTTTTAATTATAAAATTATAAACAAACTAAAAATAAAAGCCTTTTTAAATTAAAATTTAAACTTAAAAAGTTTAAAAGCTTATGCTTATTATGATATTAGTGACATATAATTATTTATTTTTATTAACATTTAAATTAAAATTCTAAAACCTAAAAACTAGACTACTAGAGTAACAACAGAAACCAAACGGCACTAACAAGACACATAACTGACATAAATAACTGAACAGATTTCAAAATCAAATTAGTGTCATGCGACTACACTACGTGTAATAGTAATTGTAATGTATCGTAATGTTATTGTTAACGGTAATGTAATGTAATGTTAAATTAATGTAAGTAATGTAATGTGTGGACTTAACGTCGCGACTACCATGCAGCTGCTACAAACAGCCACGTAAAAAAAACACGATAATGATCATAATATTGTCAATGTGTTTAAAAATGAATGTCCGTCATTCAATCATTCAATTTGGTGGCTGTATTACAGGCCCCATTTCATTGGTTACATTGGTGTTACATCATTTATTTACAATAAAGGTTACAATGGTGTTATATATATATATATATATATATATATATATATATATATATATATATATATTTACAATATTCTATAAATTCTACCGAATGTTTGGCGTTAATATGTTTGTACAAACATATATAAGAAAAATAACGGTATCCGTTTGGACAGGTTGGACACGTGTTTCGTCCCTACCGAGCACTCATCAGCAGACCGAATACTCATCAGAATCATATCGCAGTTTTTCCTAATAGCCCCACGAATTACTTCTTAGTTTGTGGTGTTTTTATTTATTTTGAGAATCGTTAGTTTTAATCATTAGGATTTTGCGATCCGATACATCAAAACAATCTGCTTTATTCTAAGTATGTTCATACGTAGACTAACACCACACGGCGTACACTGTACACACGCGTATGCACGCAAAAGCACCGCATCATTCACATATGTCATTGAGTTTCGAAGAGGCAGTATTCGAACCAGGCCATCACGTAATGACAAAGCGAACCTGGCAAAAACTTGCTTTTTTTCTTAAATTAACACTGGTTTTAGACATTGTAATTAAAGAGTACTGAACACCATGATTATTATGTTATATAATTGGGCTGACCAATTGAGTTCAACATAAGAAGTGAAATAAAGCCTCTGTTCGTAATGTTGATCTAAAAGCAATTACGTCATCACACTGTATTTTCACGCTGTTATTTTTCACTCGCTGGAGTATCCCTACACCAATTACAATTATAATGGATGCATACGTTTCGGTAGAATGTATAATCAGCGGTGGATGCAGAAATGCATAAATTCACGTTTAATCCAGTTCATTACCTTTTTTCTGATTTCAGTTTTCTTTATTACTGTATATACACAGCATTTAATATTTTCTTCATTCATGATCTGGTGAAGGGATGCTTTTCCTCCTCGTCACCTTGGGTCCGCCACTGTAAGTCAACAGCAATTGTGTTACTTGGCGTTGCGTTGCTGAGTATTGAAATAAACAGGTTAGATCTCGAATAAATCATAAAAATGTGACATTTGATGAAATTTGTTATCATTGTTTAGACATTTAACTTTTTGAAATTATTGAATTTTAATGTGGTAAAAATACCTGTAGAATTTATTTCTTTTAATGCTTGCAAGTTATTTTTAATTTGAGAATTTTGAATATATATAAACTTTTAGTCAAGGGGCGCTATTGAGGGGTTGATCCAGATCAAAGTTCATAGTCCTTAAGCCACCGCCAGATATCTGTTGTGAACGAACAATGAGAACAAATACTTTTTTTAGAAACGATAATATAATGGTGCAAGTTATTTGTTGGAATATTACTAGTTATGTTTCAGAATTGGGGTGTGACTTCAAAATTTTTGTCGAAATATTTTCATCAAAAATTTTAAACAGCCGTTTTGTACTTCTTGATAGCTATTAAATAATCATTACTTAGTACTCAAAAATAATACCTGATAATAATACTTAATACTCAAAAGTACTCAAAAAGCTATATCGAGACTTCTATGCTTCATATAAATAAATAAATAAATGTTTACGATCACGGGCTATTATCGCTGACAAATTTTATATTATATTATTCTATTATATAGGTATTCTAATATACATCCTGATTTTAAGATTTTAGATCTACTTTCTTAACATATAAGTCAAAATTATTTGTTTAAATTTTTTATTCTAATTTACAATAAGCTTTTAAATATCTTTACCTTTTACTATACTTTTCAATACAAATTAACTTGCGTTTTTGGTTTTTGCATTTTTCTTCTTCTCTCACATAGTTTAACAGTTCTTGTCTAATTCGTATTTTGTCTCTCGTTCTATTTTATTTTATTTTTTTATTGAAATGTATGATTATCTATAATTATTTAAAATATTATTTTATTATATGTTTATTTATTTATTTTATTAAATTGTGTTGTTATTATTCGGTTATATTAACTGGGTGGATGTGAGCATACGGGCCTGGCCTACGCTCACGATTTTTTCTCTGTTGAGTAATGTAAAAATTTGTTCTATACCCAGATTGATGAAAATCTACATAATATACGTTGAAAACAGCATCCAATTTAATTCCAAATACGTTTAAATACATACAGCATTCAATTTAATTCCAAATGCATTTAAATGCAAACTTTGACGGCATATCATATACTTAATGATATTTTGAATTATAATTCGTATCGTATGACACACGCACACGAACAGAATTATAACGTGACACATAAGTTGAAAACAATTTAAAATAGCAAAATTTAATTTGTCATTGCCAGTAAATTTAATTACACAATATTAAAAATAATGATTTTCTGTCAAATATTTTCGAGTAGCTTATTAAATTTACTCAGAATAAGATGTATTTGTAAACAATGGCGTATCTGGGGAAGCCATGGCTAGCCCCACGTTATGAGCGGTATTGTTGTTAAAAATTAATAGTTAGGTCCTTGCCCGCCAGCGTAATTCACAATTTTTTTTAGTAATAAAACCGGTTGTATACTAATCATGTATTGGCCACTAATTCAAAATATATAAATTAAAATGGACGTATGAAATGAAGCAAAATAAAAAAAGTAAAATAAAACAAAGTAATATTTGTTTACAAAGTAATAAAGTATAGAAACATAAAAATAAAAACAATTGTATTAAATTAGTCAATGTAGTTGAAAACCCAAGATATTAAAATATTAAAAATATATAATTATTGCAAAAGTCCGAAAAATTAGCTAGAAAAACCCAGGTAGCAAAGATTTATAGATAGATAATGAATTAGATTCCTTAAGTAATTCAGGTAAATTTTTCAAGTGACACATTAACACAATGGAATTGATGATAAAATTCGTTCTAAATTTATATAAATAGAAATTAGCGTTGATTCTAAATTTTATTGGCCTTGAATGGATAAAACAATGTAAGTGTTTTATCAAAGCCATTGAAGCAAGGGTATGTTTGCAAGTTCTGTTAAAACAATTTGAAAAAAAAAAACAAAATGAATATAATATATAAAGATGTGGAAACTCTCGTTGCTTGTTTTCCTCGATCACGTCGGAGTCACCAATTTGTTGCGGTTGCGTTTGATGATGGATTAACACCGAACCAGAAGAGCAGTAAGCGAGAGAAGAAAAAAACAGTATTCGTTTGGATAGGCTGGACACGTTTTTCGTCCCTACCGGGGACTCATCAGCAGCCCGAATACCTATCAGAATAGTTATCGCAGTTTCTTATAAAGCCAGCACAAATCACCTCTTTAGTTCGTGGTGTTTTATTTATTAGTCTTTTTAGCCGCTAGGATTTTCAATCCGACAATATTAACTACAATTCCCAGTTAATTTTTCTCAATTGAAATTTGTTCAAACAATGAAATTTGTTACTGTTATTGATTCTACTTAAAATTCTTCATTCATCAATCTCGTTTAATTTTCATAATTTAAGTTTTATTGACTTGTTTTTTCATGTTTTAGGTTTTTAATAACTTGTCTTTATACAGATCAATACGGATCAATTCATTTTGCCTTAACAATATCATTCTGTCCCAACTCAAGTTTTTATTTAAGTCACAATTGTTAAAAGTTTTCCCAGATCTGGTCAGTTTGTATATTGTCGTTTTTATTCCACAGAGTATTGGTGCTGTTTCGCAGTAACCGGTTTCGAATATGTCAAAAAGATACCGCTTATCATATGCTTCGTGTGTGTTGCGTTGTTTAGCATGTATTCCTATATGATGTTTGTGACGTGTTTCGGAATCGAAATATGGCCTTATTTGCAGCATGAATTCGAAAAATATATTATATAATAATAGTATAATATAAATATAATATAATAATATTCCTTGCATATATATATATATATATATATATATTTTTTACAATATTCTATAAATTCTACCGAATGTTTGGCATTAATATGTTTGTAGTTAGTTTTTTCGATTTTTCTCACTAAAGTTTTTTGGTGAACGTTTAGTTTATTAAAATTCAAAATAAACTTATTTTTCGAATTCATGCTGCAAATAAGGCCATATTTCGATTCCGAATGAATCATCATCAGTGCTCCTTGCTGTATATATAGGGAAATATTCACTTTGTCAAGATAAACTTTGACGTTGTAAAAATTAACTTTGGTGTTGTAAAATTGAACTTTGATGGGAATTAGGTGTCAGGTTTCTTAATTGGCTGGTCATCTTCTTTGGTCTCCTTTTCTTCATCGATAGCATCATATTCTTCTTTGTCACGCTAATCGACATCAATAAACCAAAAATAAATATACAACAAAAAATGACAACCTTACTTCCAACCCGGCGCTTAACCAACAACGAAAAATGTTACCTTGTAATAATAAAATATTGCAATAAAACAATAAACAGTTTTAAAAAAATGAAATTAAAACAAAATTATGAAAATAAGTAAATAAAATTGTGTAGAAACGTATAATAAAACAATTCAGTTAGACCGAATGTTTGGCGTTAATATGTTTGTAGTTCGTTTTTTCGATTTTTCTCACTAAAGTTTTTTGGTTAACGTTCAGTTTATTAAAATTCAAAATAAACTTATTTTCCGAATTCATGCTGCAAATAAGACCATATTTCGATTCCGAATGAATCATCATCAGTGCGGTTAACGTTCAGTTTATTAAAATTCAAAATAAACTTATTTTCCGAATTCATGCTGCAAATAAGACCATATTTCGATTCCAAATGAATCATCATCAGTGCTGTTAAGTTTATATAGGGAAATATT